AGCCCCAGCCCCAGCCCCAGCCCCAATCCCAGCCGCAGCCCCAGCCCCAGCCTCAACCCCAGCCCCAGCCTTCCCAACAGAGATGAGCCCCTGTGAATGAAGGTGAGTCAGCAATGGGGGCCCGGATGGCTGGGCGAAGGGAGGAGAAACGCCAGGGCACCAGACAGTGGGGGAACCATCAGGATCAGATGCCTCTTTCCAGACACCGGTGCTGCAGAGCTGGGCCACTTGGGCTTGGGGGTTTGCTCAGGAGCCAAGGGTAGCACAGAGGTTAACCATGGACCCTAGAGCTAGGCAGTCTGGTCCTTACTGCGTGACCTTGGGTAAGTCACTTAACCTCTCTGAGCCTCAGTTTTCTTGAGTATAAAAGATAAATGAGCATAGAACCTATCTTATCGGGACATGGCATTAAATCCATATACAGCCCTTGAAATAGGGCCTGAAGCCTAGCAAGCCCTCGGTAGCTAGCATAGTCAGTCACTTTATTAATCATGAGCATTTTTCGGTGTGAGATCCGCGGAGTTAAGCAGAGTGGGTCTGAGCTTCCCACCACTGACTTGCTGTGCAGCTTAGGACAGATTACTTACCCTGCCTGAGCCTCTATCGTCCCTCTGTGCTAGAGATGAGTAATACCCGCCTTGTAGGATTGTGCTGAGAATTCAATGAGATAGAAAGAGATTATTGCTTCCTCGTGTGTTAGAAGCACTGTCAGAGGGGAACGAGACAGAGAGAGGAGACCATCAACTCCAGGATTCCACTCCTCATAGGCGTTTTCTGCCTGAGATGTTAGGGGAACAGAGGAAATTCTTAGGATCTTAGGAAGTCAAATCTGTCATGGTCAGTAGGAGTACAGATTGTGGGGTCAGACAAAACCGAGTTCAAATCCCAACTGTGTGGCTTTGGGCAACTGACTGATCCTTCTGGAGCTTGCAAGTTGGAGGTGAGAATTCAATAGGCATCTAAAACTCCAGGCACATGCTAAGTGCTCGGCAAATGAGAGAGGGCTCATATTTATATGTTATTCATGACCCAGGGAAAGTATAGGCCAGAGAGGGCAAGTAATTTCTCTGAGGCTACACAGCAAATGCAGGTCCTAGAAGTTACGGGAGTGAGCCTTGGGGAGGGTGTTCTGGGGACTCATCCTCTGAGGGGTGTCTTGTTCCTGCTAGGCTCCCCAAAGCTTCCTGTAGAGCTGGAGCCTGAGCCGGAGATAGAAGGGCTGCTGGCACCAGTGCTGGAGGCTGGCGATGCAGAGGAAGGCACCGTGACGCGGCCCCTCAGCCCCACCAGGTTGCAGCCAGCGCTGCCGCCTGAGGCACAGTCGGTGCCCGAGCTGGAGGAGGTGGCACGGGTGCTAGCGGAGATTCCTCGGCCCCTCAAACGCAGGGGCTCCATGGAGCAGAGCCCTGCTGTGGCCCTGCCCCCCACCCACAAGAAGCAGTACCAGCAGATCATCAGCCGCCTCTTCCATCGCCATGGTGGGCCAGGGCCTGGGGGGCCCGAGCCGGAGCTGTCTACCATCACCGAGGGGTCTGAGGCCAGAGCAGGGCCCCCTGCTCCCGCCCCACCTGCTCCCATACCACCCCCAGCCCCACTCCAGAGCAGCCCGCCGGAACAGCCACAGAGCATGGTAAGTGATACAGGGCCAGACTGGGTTGTGTTTGCTAGTTCCGGATCCTGTTGCTGCAATGCCCAAAATACAACGAGAGTTTACTTCTCTTTTGAGTAGCTTGTTGGGGCGGGTAGGCAGCTCCGTGCCATGAGAGCCAGGCACTATCTCCCTAGGGCTCTGCCATGTTTGGGGGTAAGCCTCCCCTCGTGACCCAAGTTGGCTCTCACCTAATCTGCATTCCAGCCAGGAAGGGAGAAGAGAAAGTGCCCCTTTTCTCTGTGCATAGAACCTGCAAATTGCACGCATAACCTTGTGCCATTCTCCTGGCCAAGAACTCTACTGCAAGGGAGGCTGGGAAATGTAGTCTTTTGTCATAGCTGTGTTTGGAAAAGGGGCATCCAGGAGTCTTGGCTACATGGGGACTTTGTTGCACCTTCTCTCCTGCACTCACGCTCTGCCTCAGGCATTCATTCCTTCAGGAATTTCAGAGACTTAGACCTGGAAATGACCAAGCCTTGGCATGATGGCAGCTTAATTCTGGGACGTGGAAAACCTGCCTGCGTCACTGTGTCTCTGCAGAGCAGTCTCTTGTGTCTGCTTTTCCTCTTACTTAGAGTAGGCAGTCCTTGAGGCCATGGGTCTCCTGGGCAAGTGCACCAGCCGCAGAGCTAGGCTCGCCTAGTTGGGGTCCTAGCTCCATACCGTGAATCATCTTTGTAGTCTTGGGCGAGGCACTTACCGTCTCTGGGTGTGAGAATAACAGTACCTACCTCATAAGGTTGTTGGATTAAATATACTAAACTAGTGCTTAGTGGGGCCAGCATGTGGCATGGTGATTAAGGAGAGGAGCTGGATTCCCACATGGCCAACCATAGTTCGAGTCCCAGACCTGGTGGCTTGCTTTCTCACTTTTCCTTTCTCTCTCACTCTGGTCAAATTAAAATAATACAGAAATAAAATTAAAATACATCATTCTTGGGACCAGCAGATGGGATAATGTTTATGTTGCTGGACTCGCACATAGTTGACCACAGTTTGAGTCGTGGACCTGGCAACTTAAAAAACTCACACTGTGCATGTGTGCGTGCCCAAAATCCCAAGGGAGAATGGAGGAGAAGGGATTGCGGCATGGCCATCTCTTATGGGGTGTTATTTCTCGCTTTCTGTTTCTCTGTCTCTCTGGCAAGCGCACATGCCCTATAGCAGAAATCTCTCTTGAAAAAAAAAAATACAAGAGCCAGCAGGTAGCATGATGGTTGAGGGCACTGGATTCCCACGTGGCTGACTATGGTTCAATCCTGGACCTGGCAGCTTGCTTTCTCACTTTCTCTCTCTCTCTCTCATACACACTCTGGCCAAATTAAAAATAAAAAATAAATGAATAAAGTTTAACAAAATAATTCTTTTTAAAAATATATAATTAGGGAACCAGCAGATAGCGTAATGGCTATGTCGCTGGACTCTCATGTAGTTGACCGCAGTTCAAGTCCTGGACCTGATGGATTAAACTCATGCCAGGCGCATGTGCGTGAGTGCCCAAGATCCCGAGAGGAGAATGGAGAAGGGATTGTGCACTTGCCAGACATACAGAGAGAGACAGAGAGACAGAAAGCGAAAAATCAGCCCCCGGGGGGATGGTCACGCTGCAATCCCTTCTCCTCCATTCTCCTCTCAGGATCTTGGGCACGCACGCACACGCGCCTGGCGTGAATTTTAAGCCACCGGGTCCGAGACGCGAACTGCGGTCGACTACGTGGGAGTCCAGCGACATAGCCATTTCGCTAAATGCTGGTCCCAAAAATACATAATTCTTAAAAACAAAACAAATAGTGCTTTGTATAGTGCCTGGGTCATCACTTGTCCTAGTGGTTAAGGGAGTCTCACGTCACCAGTCACACAGTTCGAATCCCAGCCCTGGTAGCTTGAAAAAAATGCCAGGCCCGTGTGCATGTGTGCCCCAAATCCTGACAAGATAGATAAGTGGAGGAGAAGGGATTATGGTATGGCCACGCCCCATTGGGGTGCTTTCTACCTCTCTCTGTCTCTGGCCAACACATGCACCCTCTGGCAATTAATAAAAAAAGAAAAAAGAGTAATGCCTGGCACATAGCTGATAACTACTATTAGTATTACCCTTTTCTTCTCAAAGAATTATTTTATCTAATTTTATTTATTTATTTTAATTTAACTAGAGAGGGACAGAGAGTGAGCGAGAAAGTGAGAAAGCAAAGCCGCCAGGTCCAGGACTTGAACTGCGGTCAGCTATGTGGGAGTCCAGTCCAGCACCCTTAACCACCACGCCACCTGCTGGCCCCAGTGTTACCTTTGATTTTTTTAGTTTGCCAGAGGTCATGCGTGTTCACCAGACAGAGACAGGACAGAAAGAGGGAGAGGTAGAAAGCACCCCCTGGTGGGGACGCAGGATTAGGCCACAATCCCTTTTCCCATCAGTAGCTGGGGCACGCAGGCCCTCATGCTCAGCATGTTTATCAAAGTGCCAGGGCTGGGACCTCAACTGCATGACTGTTTAGGACCTGGCTCCCTTACCACCAGGTCATGGAGCCGGCTCTGTTGTTACCTTTCTTTCTTTCTTTCTTTTATTTTTTTTAAGAATTATTTTATTTGTGCCAGCAGGTGGCATGGTGGATAAAGGTGCATGGCTGACCGCAGTTCAAGTCCTGGACCTGGCAGCTTGCTTTCTCACTTTTCCTTTCTCTCTCCCTCTGTCTCTCTCTGGTCAAATTAAAAAATAATGATAATAATAACAAACTGAATTAAATAAATAATTATTTTATTTAACTTTATTATTATTATTTTAAAATTTGACCAACGAGAGACAGAGAAAAAGAGAAAGTGAAAAAGCAAGCCACCAGGTCCAGGACTTGAACCGTGGTCGGCCATGTGGGAGTCCATTACCTTTACACACTACCTGCCGGTCCCTGCTTCTTTTTTTTTTTTTTTTTTAGTTTGTTATAGAGCACGTGCACTTGCTGGAGAGAGGAGAAAGAAAACGTGAGAAATGATCCCCCACGAGGGACGGCCACGCCGCAGTCCCATCTCCTCCATTCTCCTCTTGGGGTTTTGGCCACGCACTTGCATCTGGTGTGTTTTTCGAGCCACTGGGTCTGGGATTCAAACCATGTAGTCCTCCATGTGGGATCCAGCTGCCTTGCCATCATGCCACCAGAAGTCTTTGTTTATGTATTTCCTCCGTGACAAGCACCCCAGCAGGGTCCCCCATCATAATCCATCCCCAGGCTCAGCCCGGGTCACAGGCACACATCCCTGGCGTGTACAGAGAGGTCAAGACGTGAGGCAGGCCGTTCCCACGTGGGTTCGGCATTCTGGAGTGCTGAGTTAGCAGCGTGTCACCAGCTGGCCCCTGTTACCATTTAACACGGGGCCCCTCTTGTTATCAAAGGGGTGCTCTCTCCTCTCCCTTCTGGTCTTGGCCCAGTTCCTGCGTCTCAGCTGGGAGCAGTCCTGAGCATTAGCATGGGTGGGCAGAGAAGGAGAACAGTTTCCAGAGAAGTGGGGGCCAAGTAGCACCCCAAAATGCCTATTCCCAGCCCCTTCTGAGGGTAGGGCGTGGTTGGTAGGAGTATGGGAATCCACGGCTCATGATCTTGATACTGAGAGGGGAAGAATGACATCTTGAAATTGTGGTGTTGTCCCCTCATGGGATCATCTAGTCTTGGCCACAGAGAAGGTTGAAAAACATCCACGGAATTCAGGAATCCAGCCCTGCTCGTCAGATTCTTGGAACTGTACAATTTTAGAGTCCTTGAGTACTGAGAGTTTGAAGGACAGGATCTTAGAATTACAAAGTTCAGGGGCTGGCAGGTGGTGTGGTGATTAAGGGCACTGGACTCCCACATGGTTGACCGCAGTTCGAGTCCCGGTCTTGGCGGCTTGCTTTCTCACTTTCTCTCTCTCTCTCTCTCACAACTCTCTCACTTTGACCCTCTCTGGTCAGGTTCAAAATAAATAAGTAAATAAAGTTAATAAAACAATTCTTAAAAAAAATAATTACAAAGTTTATATCATGGACCCTGATTATGATTGGTTCTTGAAGTCACCAAAGTTGAAAGTTAATGACTCATAATTTGAATCGTAAGAGTGCAGATAAACGTACTACTCTATTGTGATACAAAATTATATAAAAATAACGCTTTCTATCAAGGAGTACACAAACACCATAGAAAATGTGCATGGGGGGCAGCCAGATGGCATGGGGTGGTTAAGGCAGCTGAATCCCATATGGCCAACTGCATGCTTTGAGTCCTGGATCTGGCAGCTTGAAAAACGCATTGGGTGGGGCCAGCAGGTGGCATAGTGGTTAAAGTGCTGGCTTCTCATGTGGATGACCATGGTTCAAGTCCTGGACCTGGCGACTTGAAATTCATGCTGGGCATGTGTGTGTGCATGTCCAAAATCCTGAGAGGGGAATGGAAGAGAATGGATTGTGGCATGGCCATCCCCCCTGAGGTGATTCCTCACTCCCCTCCTCCCCCCATGAGCATGTGCATCCTATAGCAAACTAAGAAAATAAAGTAAAAATAGGATGGAATTACAGTTCCAGACAGAATTCCATGTTCTCTCCTAGAGGACCATGATTAACATTTTAAGTCTTTACTTCTAGTCTTTTGGAACAAAATTCTAATTATAAAATGTTAAAGTTCTCAGTCGTAGACTCTTGAGATTGCGAAATCCTGGGCCCTCAATAATTTGAACTAGCCCAAAATAACACTTTTGTAATCACAACGTATCGAATTACTCAAATAACCGCATCAGAGAATTGGGGATTCAGTAGTTTCTGAAATCTTTAGGTTCCAGAATCTTGAAATCACTGAAATTCTAGAGACAGCGAAGACTAGAATAACAAACATTGCACGGGCAGATTAGAGTCTTGTAGGAGGGAGAGTGAAAGAAGAAAGCACGGGAATGATCGAAGTGCTCCGATCCCAAACATCTGGGATGAACACCTGGCAACGTTTTGTCACATGTGCTTCACAGCATTTCTTTCTTTTTTATTTTTAAAGAGATTTTTGTGGAGCTGGCAGGCAGTGTGGTGGTTAAGGTGCTGGACATCCACATGGTCAAGCACAGTTCGAGTCCTGGACCTGGCGGATTGCTTTCTTTCCTTCTTTCTTTTTTTTTTGGAGAGATTTTCGCTATAGGGCGTGAGTGCTCGCCAGACAGACAGAGAGACAGAGATAGAAAGCGAGAAATCACCCCCCAGGGGGGATGGCCACGCCGCAATCCCTTCTCCTCCATTCTCCTCTCGGAATCTTGGGCACGCACGCACACGCACCCAGCATGAGTTTTTTAAGCCACTGGG